TATACGTTATGTATCTTAAGTTTAGGTTATTGTTATTCTTGGGAATTTCTATTTGCCTGCCCACATTTGCACGAGTACAGTAGTTATGACTTACTTGTTTCTGTAGTTTCTCATTTCTATAAATAAAAGTAGATACTGTCATCACGTACAAGGATCTAATATGTAACAAAATATCTCGCTCTTGCTGTTTCGGGACTTTTAAATCAACCTGTATAAAACGTTTACCCCACTGATGACTACACAGCATTAGCCAGGCAACATGATTATGCGTATTAGCTTCTCGCAGCCTAGGACGAGCTCTCAAGCAAAAATTTAACGTACTCTTACGGAGTCGCGCTGATGGTTGTATGGATGTATACCCGTATGCTGTATACAAGATGTGATGCAAACTTTTCTTGTTAGATCAGGGATTGGAATTGCGTGTCTAAGAATTAATTCGGTAGCAAAGTGGCGACGCAAGGGTGTTATGAATGATGGAATGTTCGAATCGTGTGAAGATCATAACAAATGCTTCCGTAAAGCTTCTCATTGAAATAGGCTCGGGATGTGATATTGACGGCAGAAGATCAATGGTTGGCTCTCCGTTGGTCGATCGTACTATTGTGTTTAGTTTATTCAGTGGCAAGTATACCACATCTACTGTACAGCCAGGATTGTCAGCCATGTAGCGGTCATCTGATGACTGGGCTATTAAACGCGAACAGATCCAACAAATAGCAGCTATGCTTTATTTATCAACTTATTCCTAAAAGGGTATAATTTTTGGCAGCTTTAGGTTACCCCACGTGGTTATTCAGTTTGCCTAAAATATTGTGTTTAGTAGCTCGACTCCATTCCTCACATTTAATTGCTTTGACCTTTTAACCATAGCCTGAATGGCATTAGATTTGGAAATAAACGAATATAATCTGGTTGATGACAGCTGCGTGGGACGTACAGAGTCAACCTACTTAACGCCAACATTTGTATATTATTAGACAAAAAGAAAAACATCTGCTTAAATTTATGCTCATTGAACTTATTTGGAAGTTCATTCTTACGGTACAATCTAAGTGTATATGCTATTTATATACATATACAATGGTATCAATGATTAATGAATGATGAATGTTTTCATATGAATTTCTTTTGTTTTGACCTATTTATCCCATATTCACGTACAGTGTGACTCAATAGAATTACTTATCTTGACGGAATAAGCGTATAATGTACTTTAATGTAACTTCATATTTTTCTCTTTATATATTCAACGAGGAATGGATCCTGTTGAATTCCAACGATCGTCTTCCTAAGTGACAGACGAACTGAGTATAACAAACAAAAAAATTATATCAATAATAATCAGTTCATTATTATTTTCCAGTTTCATCACGTTTCTCTTTGTCACACTCTATCTTTGAAATGTTACCATGCAGTGATTTCCAGTATTATTCACATATTTGTATAACGATAAAACACGTTTACTAAGAGTGTCACAGAAAATTAATCATTCTATTGAAATTCTAGTTGGTTGAGTAATCAAGTGTTGCTTTGTCATCCATGTATATGACCAACAATAAAAGTGATTTGTTTGTATACTGAGCTGTGTGCATTTTAGAAGTATTAAAATATGTGGTTCTCTTTTAGGTAAACTATTATAACTGAACTATCGTTCAGTAGACGGCTACTACCACCCTAAACTATTATGAACATCATTCTATACTGTGTTCCAGCTTCCTCTTCATTTTACCAGCCTGCCAGTGGTATTTATATTGCAGTGTGATATTATTGCTCCAATACCAATTGCATAGGACCAATATTCTTACTATTTGAGTTTCCTATTGTGAACTGTAAGAAGCAGATGATCAGCCCCCACCTGCTCAAGTAACTTGATAATACCAAATTCCAGACGTAATTTAAGAATGCCATTGTCTGATCCCTTCTTTCGTATTCCGTTAAAACTTGTTAGGCTGCAACCCACCCTTCGTAACATTACCCCGGATACATTTTAATTTGGTTTTGTGAGAGTGAAAGAAAAGAGTCTGCGGGTCTTCTGCCTGGGTCTACGCGTTAGTTAATACAAAAATTTCATTGTAAATGTCACAGTATTTCAGCAACGTAATACTAAGCTTGATGTAACAATAATGGCCTTAAATTGACTGGAGGGGACCAAAGTATGAAGTAGATGTATATTGACACTGTGAGGACAAAAAAAGTTCAATACAAAACCTCTACAACCTAGTATCGAGTTTTTCAATGTATACAGGATTTCTCAGAAAAGTGGTTTTGAATAAAGTATTATTTAAATGGTTTATGTCTATTCATATGTATACGCTTGTGGGCTTATATTATACTAGATTGTCTATGTTGCTAGGTGCAAACTGATGACCTCGCGTACACGTGACATAAAAAATTAAGTTCTTGACTGAAGCTTTAAAATTCTGATGGGTTTTTTTTAGCCAGATCCAATCTTTGTATATGTACCTATATCTAATTTTGGACAAACACACGACGTCACAACATCCATGGCTTCGAAAATGTGATTTCCGAAGGCGAGATTCGAACTCGCGGCCCGGCTGGCCGGCTGATCAGTAGCACGACACTCTGACCCACCCGGCCAACCGAGGTCCCCAGTGATGGGGTTCTTGTTCTCTTGGATTCAAAGAAAGGCAAATAATTGGAGGACCAATAAAATAAATGTAAAGTGCAGTATAATTCAACATTTATTAAACCTAAAATACAACATTGATAGGAAAACGGTTTGATTGTCCTTTATGCGCCTTAGGTGATGATAGACTCCCTAGTAGACGAATGCAGACATATAGATACCTGGTACGCAGCTGCAGGATATTAATATCTTTCTTCAGAGTCAATGTATACTAAGTGACATATAAATCCGAACACCCAGTTTAAATGGTTTTATTTTAATAAAATTTTGGATAAGTACTTAATGAAGCATAATAAGTAAATGATAAAAATTTCAAAATGCTTGCACTGCTTTAAAGCCCTTTGACCTTCAATAATGTGTGGATGCACCCTGATGTGCTATGCATTCTCCAACGCGCCTAGGCATGCTTCTGATCAGGTGGTCAATGTCCTCCTGTGGTATCTCATTCCAGGCAACCACCAGCTCCTCTCGAAGTGCTTCTAGAGTCTGAGGAGGACGTTGCAAATTGAGCAATCTCCTACCCATCATATCCCACACGTGCTCAATTGGGAATAAGTCGGGAGATCTTGGTGGCCATGGTAACAATGTGCCATCATTATGTTGAAAGAAGTCTATTGTGACTCTTGCAACATGTGGTCGGGCATTATCTTGTTGGAAAGTTGGATCTGCCAGGGTGTCAAGATAGGGTAAAAGATGGGGTTCTAGAACTTCGTGGATATAACGCTGCGCGTTCATGTTACCTCTGATGAAGATTAAAGGTGACCTGGAACCATAAGCTATAGCACCCCAAACCATAACTCCAACAGTGTGATGAACATGCCTAAACAAAATCGAGACTCGTCACTAAAGACAATACTGTTCCATTCCTGATCCCAGAGTGACCGTTGTCTGCACCACTCAAGGCGATTACGTCAGTGTTCTCGAGTTAAGGGAGGACCCAGTGTGGCCGGTATGAAAGCAAGCCAAAACTTCTCATTCGTCGGTAAACACTTCGCATGCCAATAGGTCTTCCGTGTTCTGCAAACCATTCATTTGCAATGGAACTGGTAGTGGAGAAACGGTCCCCCCTTAAGGCCAATAATCTTAGGCGGCGATCTTCACGGCGGCGTCCAGTGCCCCTTGCTCTTTGCGTACGGCCTTCTCGAAGCCATGCCTGACAACACCTAACCACAGTGTCTACACTTCTTTGCACTCTAACTGCAATTGCCCGAAAAGAAAGTCCAGCTTCCCGAAGTCCCACTATACGGCCCCTATCAAACTCACTAAGTTGACGAAATCGTACAGGTCTCCGTACTCTAGGCATCGTAACCGATCGTAAAGGATGTCAAGAACCAAAATTCGCCAACGTTGATTCTTTACTGCGGCTGAAATATTCATTTTTAGAGCGTTAGTGAATTAAAAAAAAGCAGTATAAAAACCGGAATGTCCAACTGATAAGGTTGAAAATTTTTTCACTTGTTATTTACAGTAAGATAAATACATTCACCTACTTTTATTAAAATAAAACCATTTAAACGCGGTGTTCGGATTTATATGTCACTTAGTATATTAACTATAGTTACTCATCCTTATCACATAATATTAAATTTTCACATTCTCATAACCAATTTTTGATGAGACCATTGTCGGCAAATCTCAAAATGTTTAAGCTTCTGGGATATATTTTTGTATTTTATTTTGAGACTTCTCGGGAAGAGTTTCTTCTACAGCCTTGACATGCTCCATCTATCTATCAATATCTCAGCAACCTTGGCTCTTCGCTGCTCAACACAGCGCAACTAGGGCTTTATATATATATATATATATATATATATATATATATATATATGCAGGTATAGTATTTATATAGGAAAATAATGGGCAAAATCCGCAAAAGAAGGAAAGTGGATTCGAGCAGAAAATAGGATAGGTAACCCGAGCGATACGTATTTCTGCTGGTTGGCTTTATCAGGCCCGAAATAGATGCTCGTATGCAACTGCAAAAGTAGATACACATGCCCACACATCCGGATACGGGGGTAACCTGAGGAAACTAAGATGCAGAGGGAAAAAAATGACACACGAAGTCCACAACAAGAGCCAACCTACACATTGTAGTATAAAATGGCTAGAAGACCTCGAATTTTAAAGGCGACACTTGCTATGGTACTTCAAGCCCAAAGGATCTACAAAAAAAAAATGATCATGCGGAGAAAGGTATATAACAAGAAATAGAAGATAATGGTCAAAATCCGCAAAAAGAAGGAATGTGGATTCTATGCAGTCATGGAAATGTCCCAACATGCAGTAACATGCAACCTCCTGCTTCCTTTCTTTACAATGTAAGTCACATTGCAAAGCTTTTGTAGTATTTTTATATTCCTGGTGGGATGTTTCTGCGTTCGTTTCGATTGTTGTACCAATCTGCAGACATCTCCCATTCTCGGCCCATGACACAACTCCAGTTTGTAGTCTTTGCGCTGAGTGTTTCGCCTGGTCCATCATCTTTATATAGCTGATAACCATAGCAACACGCTACGCCGACTACTCCTATGGAACTTGTCCCTGCTAAGTAATTCTGGACACTACGTGAGCGCCAGTCTAACCGTTCGCCCTTCTCGCTTGCCTTCGAGGTAACCACTTGCGCTTCACCTCCTTTGGCAGTCATGTTACAGAATTGCACTTTTTCAATCTCAAACGAAGACAACTTCCCAACAATGTCGGAAAGTGACATGACGTATTTCAGATTCAAGCGCGTTCCATAAATAAACTCCCGGAAAGCGGTCGCTGTGATCCCGTAGCCTGCAAGCCTTTGAGGAATCTCTGGCCTGCGAGTACCAATTGGCGATAGCTTGCCAACTAGGTTGCTCGTAAACTCAGTACCCTCGGGCTTGTCTACGCGGATGTTAGGTATCGGCTCTTCATCTCTCGAAGCTAATGCAATTACCATATCGCCTGCTATTCCTAAAGAGGGTATTTAACCTCGAAAAGGTTATGCGTGGCGACGGTGACACTAGATGAGTGATATCCACCAAATCCCTGAACAACGTGGACGGGCAAAGGAGGAATCTCAAGTTGAGTTTCTTTTCCCATGCTGTCGGTGTAATTGCCAATGTTGCTAAGGTAAATAAACAACGGCTGTGGGATGTTAAAAATAACATCTTTCACCGCTTTGTTGAATTCTTTCTCCTCGGTAGACAATGGACTGCTTTTGTTTTTAGCTTTGATGTCAAGCAGTCTAGACCATAGATAGAATGTGCTAAGGTAACTTCGCTCTTCTTTCGTTATCATGCGCTCTTTTTTTTTTTTTTTTTTTTTTAACGAGGGGGGAATGCATTTACGCACCATACCATAGCACGAGCTACGACGTGTGTGGGGCTCCAGGGTCTTGAAGAGATCACCTAATACCCACTAAACCCTAAACCTCCGCGTGGCCCGACTCAGCAGCGTCTCGGTAGGCCATGTGTTGTGCGTGACCTGCGGTCTGCTACAACGTCTCCTCATGTGTTTCAGTCTCTGGGAACGCCGGGTTGGTTCCCTTTACCTCGCACATTCTATCGATGTCGTTAAGCGATCATCGATAGAGGGTCTGCTAGTTTCTCTTGAAACTCTTGTTTTCGAAAAATCAAGAGTTTCAAGTCATCTTACCAATATGTTGTTCCTGGTCCTGGTCCTGAAGGGTCCTGGTCCTGGTGGGTCCTGGTCGTGGCGGGTCCTGGTCCTGGTTGGTCCTGGTCCCGGTGGGTCCTGGTCCTGGTTGGTCCTGGTCCCGGTGGGTCCTGGTCCTGGTTGGTCCTGGTCCCGGTGGGTCCTGGTCCCGGTGGTTCCTGGTCCTCTGCATCCACGCCGTGGGGGGGGGGGGAGCAGCCGCAAATTCTCCTAGTCTCCTAGTCAAGGTTCCAGTTAGCGGGTGCCAACTGGGACCTTGGTCTGGGGTACCTGGTTCTGCGGTTGCGAGGCCTCTCGTCCGGATCGTAGTCCATGAGGAATCGTAACTGCTCGTTCGGGTGGTCCTGAGCTTTCTCGAAGGTCTTCTCCGCTTTTTTCCTCATGTACTCGTGGATGGTATCCCAATGCAGGTCTCTACGCAAGGTTGAGTTCCTTACGTAGGAAGGTGCATTGGTGGCGATCCGGAGTAGCTTCATCTCTAGAGCAGCAAGTCGCTTGCGGTAGCTGGGGGCAGCGTACCCCCAGACCGCGGAGGCATGCGCTCTAGTTGCTTCTCATCGGCTAAATACGTTGAATATAGCTCGGATGACACGTCTACAACCTTTGCGACGTTCGCGCTAAAACGTTGTTCTGGCTCCTTCGGCATCAGTGACATTTCTGGCCCAAATATTGCGTTGGAAGCGATATCGTCGTTCATCTGCGGCGTTGCTTTCTTCTGCGGGTTGGTTGGTGCTGGTAAGTCTGGCTTCGATGGCCCCTTACGCTTATCTTGAGCATTATTCATTGATTTGTCGCTGCCTTTGAATGCATTTGGGTTCCCCATACTCTTAATCTTATTGATATCAAAGTTCTGAGGTTTACCCCTGTATCCGGGTGTGATCTTGTGAATTTCGTCTGCGGTATACTGCTTTTCCACCTTGACGGTTCGCTGAAACTATTTATCCCTATCAGGATCCAGGTTTCATTCTGGTACTTGATATTGGTTGATGCCGCATTCTTGCGAAGAGCTGTCAGATGATATTGAAACATTCGTTTGTTTGTCTTTAAATCTATATTTATTTATCTCAATATACGAGTACCTCGTTATTATGATTTTATAAAGATATCAGATATGTAATAACAGCAGCGGCATTGTTCTCCTGGTTGTGACGTCACTGACCGCACAATATCAGTATCGCATTATCCTGATTATACTTGCGGTTATGACGTTGGATATGTTTGCGCCAGCTCAAGCGATGTCGGTGACATCCGATAGGTAGACTTACAGGAAATTAAATTCTTCCAAGGATGGAGTGCTGCGGTTATTGTTGCATCAGGCAGACGGAAGGGTATTAAGTAGCAGTTTCGTTTTATTCTGATGGAAAATTGGAATTGACACGGTTCGCCTTCACTACCCAGGCCACTTGCGTACTTGCGAATAATTTTGCGGTGCAGGGAAATGGGAGATCGATATCGTGTTATTTGCTTTGAACAGTAGTCCGTTTGGATTAACTCGAATGGCTGAGCGATATATAGTTATGTGCATGTGTCTTCGTTCGAATGTTCGGAATTTATCAGGAACTTGAGAGGCAGATTCTTTTGTTTTCAACTAAGAATCGATGATGACTGTGTGGTTACCAACTACCGTAGTAGATATTACCTAAATAAAAATCGTACTTGATACCAACCATGGAGATGTGAATACCTCAGTACCGCGACTGCAATGCAGTCAGGGAAAGCTTGCTTCTGAACTGAATAATTCAGAAGAATTGAGTGAAACGTTCCCAGGAACAAAGCAATGGTCATCTCAGTTGATTTACGATGTGTACAGCTCAAGAAAGCTAAGGATCTTATCAAGTATCTACCGCTGCCAATTTACTTTGGCATATACCTGAAAATATTCAAATCACTTACCTATGTGATAGATGCTTGAACCATCTTCCACGAATATGTCAATAACTAGTCGAAGTATCCTCATCTGAACATTTTCCTGGACAGTGCAGCTGAGAAGCGGTATCTCAGACGTGTGAGCAGTATTTTAGGCTGCATCTTATATGAGCGCTTTGTCGAGAACGACTGGCATAGGTGTTGAAATGCACTTTCATAGTTCTGAAAAGTTTCTTCATGACAGCTGCTGAATTAAATCGAATGTATTTAAGCCAAATCATGTCCTGAGAAATGTGAACTTAAAAACCGTAACGAATAGCTTCCTGGTTGAGCGTGGCCGTCCACCAAAGCCGGATAAATGTTTGGGCGTTACTTATTAGTCAAGATTCAGTACATACTGTGTCTCAGAAGAATGTATTCCTTTATGCACAGGCGATGTTCACAGTTCTATCGTTAGACACGAGGTACTGCATAGATTATAGGAAAGGCATATAATGGAAAGGAAAATCCTAACACTTTGATTTTTTTTTGCAGATGGCATGATCACATTCCAAGAATCTTAGCCTAAGGATGATTATCTCAATTTGTACTTATCTCCTACTTCTGCTGTACGAAACGCAGGCTATAGAACCATGTAAGTATCCCATTTAATATTGTAATCTGCTTTAGCCCTTACGGAATCGATGTGGATTGTACGCGAAGAGTAGATTAACCACAGTTACATTTTAAACGACTTATATTAAAATAAGTTCTAGGAAGGAATGTGTTTGATAGCGTGCATGTGCAACTATTATCGAAAATGTTTCTTAAACATTTTTATAGGTTTACATTAAAATCAAATGTAGTGCATAGTTGACCCTCCTCTTGAGGTATTTTTGTTCTGAGGACGACCCACTTGCTTTGACACCCTTAGCAGTATTTTTCCATTGCATTTCTTTATTAGATCTGTTAGATGATGTAAAACAATGGAAACAATAGGGTAAAAAATATACAGAAAATAAATAAGGAGATAACACACATTATTTATTGCAAGACAGTTAAAACTAAACAAACATTGAAACATAAAAGGGACAAACATTTAACTAAAAACAAATATTGAACACACGTGGCAGAAATAGATTAAAATATTGCTATATTTAAATTATATAAATCAAATAGATAAACTTCCGAAAAGCATGGAATATAAGAATAAATAAGAACGGTAACTGCTGAAATTGAGATATAGGATATTACAGTGATGACTATTATAAACCGTATTGTCAGAATTACTCCTATTGCTCATTGATCATGGTATCTGATAAGTACTCATCCAAAGGGCAATATGCTTTACTTTTTAATAGTGCCTTAATATCATGTATGAGAATAGTGAGTGGCAGGGCCCTGAGGATGTTTGGCAATTTGTTGAACAACCTAACACCCAACTAGCAAAGTAGTGCTATAAGCTTTTGGTAAAAGAACCGTTCAGTCATAAAAGCTCTCTATTGTTGTTGCCTGAACACCAAAATTCTGGCTTAATGTTGTGTGGAATGCAAATTTGCTTTCTGTAACATATTTGCTCTAAAATTAGGTGTTTAAAATATTCTTATAGCATAGTTACAGAACACCTTATAGGACAAATTTTTAGCTGTTGCATAAACGTTTATACAACTATTTTATACGGCATATTTGCAGGTTAGTCGAAATGGTTGTGTTGTGGCATCCATGGTAACGTTTATAAAACAAACCCGAGCCTTGTTGTTTTGCGGTGCAAATTTACTACTTTAGCCAACAAATTGCTCTGCACTGCACTTATACAACTGTTGTTTAGTAACTGTTAAAGGCTGTACATATGCTAAATATGTTGGTAAACAACTTCACCATAACCTAACTTTCTGCTGTCATATTTTTGTTAAAAGCGATATCCAGTGTTTTAAGACAAACAACGCATGCATATTGGTTAAACAGGTTTTATCAACTGTTCAAACAGAAGATACAGATCTGGTACAAATTCTAGGTACATCGTTCGACTCTGTCGGTATTTCATTTTTGACATTTGTCAAATTGTTGTATAACACCTGCAGGTAACACCAAAATATTTTAATAAACTAAAGACAACATGGACGATGCCATGATTATACACAACCACCCGCCATATTGGGCAAACATTTATTCCTCTATTTGATGTTAAATAATTATGTTTCAGTTCGAAATTACAGACATAAAGTGATAAACATTAGTGTAATTGTGTCTAAATATAGGATTTGTGGAAGATTTAACGCAGATAAGTTCAGTTCTCCATTTTAAAAATCTAGACATACTTTTGATCATTATCAAAATATGAATCAAATACGAAGCCCGCAGAAATTGCGTAACTACTTTGCACGATAATCACAATAAAAGTTGCTGCGCAAGTAATTCAATAGCCCTATATCACAGTGTAGAAGGCTATCATATACCTGGGTATGAAATTCACAATGGCCGATATGTAAGTAAACAAGATGACTGTATTGTGTTAGTTATATATTCTTCATTTCGTCTGTACAATACATAAGAAATAGTTTGGTTGCAGTAAAGTAGAATCACGTAACAGAATAGTTGTATAGTTGACAAAAACTGAATCTTGCACTGACGCAAATGTCCTATAGCGGCTGCAAGAGGCTTACACTTTTGTTGTATAACTGTTACCTGCAGCCCTTATACAGCCTCTTAAATATTTGAAGTGTCCTATTAGGTGTGCCCATTCCGCTTGTATGTTATAGCTGTTCTAAGAGGGTTTTGCAAATGTTCTTACGGTATACAATGCTGTGTAAGGAATACTGTATAATCATTCTTGCAACTCTAATAGGAGTGATAATTGTTAGTTGGGCACCCATTCGATTCTGAATGCATTCTGTTCTAGACAATCTGTGCGTCGGAACCTGTAGGATAAACGAATTTCTTCTTAAACGTATATGGTTGGCAAAGTTAGTATTCCCAGCTGTCCGAAAGAAGCTCTACAGCTAGACCTTCTGCTGAGACCTTGAAGTAAACATACCACTCTTTGTGCATAGTTGGTAGTGATCAGTGAGTTATCAAAGCAGGCGACTTTAATACCATGTAACTTGGAAAAGCAACATTTAAATTATTGGTGTACTCTTATGCAGCCATTTTAGGCGACTATTAAATGTTTTTTATAAACCTTCTATTTTTATAATTTACTTTGATCAGCCACAGGAATGCACATATGTTGACATTCAATCCGCCAATCTACAAAGATGCTTATATTGGAGGGAGATGGTTTATTAGAATTCAATACATCCGCTGGTGCTCTCCAAAGTATTCGTACCCATCCTTTGGCGGCATTGTGTCAAAGTATGCACCATACAAAAAAGAATAAATGCAGCCTGCAGAGACACCGAGTCCGGCATTTTGAAGTATAAAGCGATCTCCGTATCTCATTATTAACGCGATAATTCAAAAATCAAAGCGTACTGCTGCATACTGATGTAGCTGCCGTTTCCTTTTATTTTTGCCGTTGAATTACCATCGCAGGAGCTGCAGGAACGAAGGCATGCCTGTATTAGCATATCAGGGGGATTCAGTTCGATCCTGCTGAGAACCGAGCGTTTCGCTACCTCCCTACAGGGTCGGAAACAGGATAATGAAGTGCACTGTCGCATGTCTGAACTTTATCTCTATTTGAATACTGAATAACACTTGGAATGTCGCGAGCAGGGGTGATAACCTGAATTACCTGATGATATTGAGGCAGCGATGTCCAATTTTGCTCCCGCTACTCGGAGCTGATATGGTTGGTGGTCAAATATAAGGAAAAAAGTACGGTTAAAATTCCGAGAATTCCGAGTTCAAATGCACACGATACCTATTGAAGAACAGATTCCCGAGGCATCCTAAAATTTGATCATTGTTCTAAATACGCGAATTGTTCATCACTTGAAAACCTATATTCAGGGATCTGAAGTCACAAATGAATACTCG